TGCAGCTCTTGTACAGGTAGCCACAGCTGCAGGGAGTTCGTGAGAGCAACAGCCCTACTCATCCCGAAGACCGCGTTTTAAAACCCTCCTCCCCATCTTCTGGGTCAGACATTCTTTTGTCCCCTTTTCCAATAAGTTCCCTGAGTCTTGTGGGGAGCAGTTAGCAGAGACAGCTCATTTAGAGCTGAGCAGTCAATACTTCACTTTTTCTCAGCACTTTGACCAGTGGCTGCTGCGCACTGCAGAGAGAAGTTTCTCTGGGCAGGGTGAGGACAGTGCTAATCTACAGGTCTAAACTAAGTCAGTTAGAAGGCAGTTTGATAGTGTGTCTGTGGTTAGCAAGGCAGCAGTTGTAGGTTTCCCCTAGGACCTATCTCTAGGTTTACAGTAATGGGCATGATGACATGGGACCCTAAACTGAAATGTTTAGGAATGTGCCTGTACCCTTGTTCTTGTACCATCACATGGGTCCAGATGGAGACAGTCAATCACCAAACATGGAGTAACTGGAACTTTATATTTAAGGGAGAAGAAGTCCTGATGTGTTTCTTCCCTCAAGGAATTCAGCTGGAGAAGAGAGAGAGAGAGAGAGAAAGAGAGAGAGAGAGAGAGAGAGAGAGAGAGAGAGAGAGAGAGAGAGAGAGAGAGAGAGGGGCTGTGGAGATAAGTGGAGATCACTCTAAGTGACTGGGGCCAGTACTTCTTGCTGTGCAGACGTCCTGGAAGGCAAGAAGTGCTGGGTGGGGTGTGCTGACAGCTAGCCATGCTCAGCCTCCTGGCAACCAAAGCAGGGAGAAAGGAGAATCTGGTATTCATTGTGTGGTTGTTTCTAATTTCCTTCTGCTTTCAAGATCCTCTTCTGAGGGAGAACAATGGCCCCAACAGCTAGGCTTGGCTTTCCTGGCACCTGCCCAGGCAAGGGGAGGGGCCAGGCACCCGAAAGCACACAATGGAGAGCTCTCGCAGCAGATGGCTTCTGACATCCTTTGAGGGTCACTGGGGCCAGTGAAGTGGGGGATAGCTGAAGAAACAAGCCTCCACCCCATTTTCATGTGTAAATGTTATTTTAAATTTCCCCTAAACCACCAGGGTTCTGATGATGCCTGGAGGAGGCCACAGAGTCACAGGGCTCCCTGTAGGACTTAGACCAAGAGCTAAGGGGCCATTGCATGCCACCATGGATACCGAGACCATCTACCTCGTGGGTTCAGCTCAAGCACCAGAGCACGGGAGGGTCCTATTTTCAGTCTTTAGAGTCAACTGAGGGCAGAAGGCCCAGGGTTGTGCAGAAGGAATGGGGTGGGGTTTCCTCTTTCCTTGCTGTCTTCACACTTGGCCTTTTATTGGTAGATTTTAGAACATTTATCAGCCTTTCTGGGATCACTTTTCATCACCAGATAATGGTTGCAGTCATGATGGGTCCAGTGCATAAAGAGACGAGAGGAGCCAGAGGGTGAGTGCGGCCTGCAGTCTGCAGGGTTCTGTCAGGAAAGATGGCGTCAGGGTAGTAATCGGAAGGCATAGTGACTGACCCAGCCTGTAGAGGGACACGGTACAGTCATCTTTAAGAGGAGAGAGCTGGACAGATTGCTCAGTGGTTAAGAATGCTTGCTGATCTTCCAGAGGACACACGGTTCAGGTCTCACACCCATATCAGATGGGTCATAACTGCTTTTAACTCTAGCTCCAGGGGATCCAACACACTCTTCTGGCCTCTCTCTCTCTCTCTCTCTCTCTCACACACACACACACACACACACTCAATAAAAGCTTTAAAGATGTGGCAATAGTTAGGTGAGTGGGTGGCTTATGTTTGTGATCCTAGCACACGAGAGGCTGAGGCAGAAGGATCACTCATGACTTTAGTGTCTGCTAGGGTTACATAGTGAATTCTGAGGGTATCCTAGCTACAGAGAGAGAATATGTCTCAAAAATAAAATAAAATTAAAAAGTGTGGGAAGGCGAGCAGGATTTTCACATTATTGTCCCTGGAGTGGGATATGTTCACCATTTCTTCTATTATTTGTTTCATGGTTTTTTTCTGGTGTTTACATTGAAGTCTTATTTATTTATTGTTTTGCATTTGTTTGTTTAGTGTGTGTGTATATATGTGTGAGTGTTCATGTATCACAGTGGTCATGGGGAGGTTGGAGAACTCTTGGGACTCTACATGTATGCTGGTTCTGAAGGTTAAAGATAGGTTGTCCAACTTGGTAGCAAGTGGCCTTACCTGCTGGGCCATCTTGCCATCCCCCACTATCTATCTGGGTTTTGAGATAAGATGTAGGTACACATCCCAGGCTGGCATTGAACTTGTGATCCCCCTGCTTTGGTCTCCCAACTGCTGTGATTACAGGTGTGCACCGCCATGCCCAGCTTTCCTGATCATTATTTTTTTTAAAACCTTTAGTTTAATCAAAAATGTTTCCAGCTGTGCTGTAACGCAGTTGGTAGAGTGCTTGCCTGGAAAGGGCCAGCGCAGACATTGTCCCCAGACTCCCTCCCATGCTCTGCAGATCTCTTGTTCTTTATTGTCGTCAGTGGGGACAGGTGTGGTCAGTTGGTCATGATTACAGGACTGCACTGAGATGTGACCAAGGAATGAGTCATCACGAGATATTCTGGACGCGATCGGCAGTCATTTTTGTTCACTGGACGCTTCGGCACTGGATCCCAGGCATGGACCTTGGCACTCCTGGTCTTGGGGCTTGTCATATCTTGCTCACTCTGGTTTCCTAAATGGGAGAAAGTTTCGGGGGGAGAAAGAACCTGGGGAAGTAACCCCTGTGTTCCAGTGGGACTGGAAATCCTGCTGCAAGGCCTGGAATTTTGACTTCCTGTTTGGCCTGGCACTTGTTCCCCTACATTTTTGGCCCTGACACATCCTCTTCCTCCCCCTCTCAGGATGTTTCCTCATCTGCAAAATGAGGGGGTTGTATTAGATCATATCTCAGGCCCCTTTAAGTTTGAAAAAGTGATGATTCTGCCTCCCAGCCACCCCCTCACTCTTCCCCCAGGCCTTTTGATTGACAGTGGGAAGATGAGGAAGAATGTGTGTTCTATAGCTCCAGCTCCAACACAGAATGGTCTAGTCCTACAGACCAGTGGTGCCAGGATTGAGGAAACCCTGTTTAGGGAAGGAGAGACAGAGGGGAAAGGTTTGAAAGGCAAGTGTGTAAATGCTCTACAGAGAAGAGACAAATAACAACGGAAAAAAAAAAAGAAAGAAAGAGGAAGAAGACAGGTGCATGGCCAAGGTTTACAAAGAGAGAACAGGAGTTGCTGGAATGGGATGGATGTATTGGCAATATGCTCACAGTTTGGGTGAATAGATTTTAAGCTGCTGGCCTCAGAACAAAACAATACGGAGAGGTGCTACAGTTTGCATGTTTAATGCGCCCTGAAAAGAGGTTCATTGGATAAAGGTTTGGTCTCCAGGGTGCCATTGGAAGGTTGTGAATCCTGGTAAGAGAGACTTAGGTCATTAGGGGTGTGGCCTTAAGGGGGATTGTTTAGGTGGAAGCTCCACCCAGCCCCACTTCTTCCATTTCAGACCTCGCCCCTGAGAAAGCCTGCCAAGGGTCAGCTCCATCTCTGAGATGCTCAAGACCATACCTACAGGGTATTTAAGACCTGATAGCTACACCTTCCATGTGGTTTCTCTTCCCACCCCCTGGAGACCACCCAGAAGTTGCTTTGCTCATTAAACCTGGACTTCTTAATTTGGCCTGATTTGATTTATTTCATCGGCAGAGAAACCCAATATTAGGGTACGGAAAACCTTTCAGGGATTGTGGGGCCTTAGTCACTACCCCTTTCACTCTGCTTCCTGGCCACAAGGCGAGCTGCTCACTTCAGTCTCCTGTAGCTGTCACTGACCTGACAGTTAGAAGGACATTATTCTGGTTAGTTTGTTATAGCCACAGAAAGCTGACCACACAAGGAGATCGATGGCATCCTCCTTCCTGATTCACTATAGAAGAGTCGGACTCTGGGAAGGACCCTTCCTCTGGAAGTCAGCAGGGATGGCTGTTGATGCCACGGGACTACTGAGGATAATGGACTGGGTGGTCCCGTGACTCAGGCAATCGCTTCCCTTTGACGGAAGTCACAGTTTCTCTTGCTTTTTTTACCAAAGTAACAATTTAGTTGTTATTTCTAGAGTCATGTAAAGGAAGACGAAAAGAAATAAGAATTGTATCGTGTCCCTGTAACCCCAGCTACTCAGGAGGCCTGAGAGAATTGAAATTGGAGGCTAGCCTAGGGAAGCTAGTGAGACCCTGTCTGAAAAGGGGTGATGAGATCGCTCAATGGTAGAGTGCTTGAGTAGCAGGGACAATGGCCTGGGGTCCATCCCCAGTACCCAGTGGGTATGGGTGCCTGTAGAGGCCAGAAGGTGTTGGGGTTCCCTGAAATAGAGTTACAGGCAGTTGTGAATGGCCTGACTTGGATGCTAGGAGCCCCGTTTCAGATCCTCTGGAGGAACAACAAGCAGGCTTAGGCTCTGAGCCATCTCTTCAGCCCTGGAAGTGATTTCTTAATGGCTAAGGCTAGAGGTGGCTGCTCTTTTCCTGGCTCCTCACCTTCGTCTGCTATTTGGATGTTCTTTAGAACACATTGTCCTCTTCTGATCTTGGGCTCGGACAAGGCACCCAAAGAATACATACCGGTCTTTTCACAGCTTCCGTTAAGTCTTTGGCGCATGGAAACCACACAAGGAGTCACAGCCAGGCTCAAACACAATAGGAGTTTCCAAAGGTTTCTACAAGCACAAATTTGTTTCGAGGTTCTGCTGGGGCCGGAGGAGGGGGTCTTTTACAGCCTGTGCAGAATAAACGGGACTGCTAGGGTGGGGGTGGGGGGTCTTTTCCAGCCTGTGTAGAATGAACAGAATTCTGGGGCAGAAGGGGAGGGGTCTTTTCCAGCCTCTACAGAATGAGCAGGATGGAGAGATGCAAATAGTGTTTGGAATAAAAAATCCCTCTGTTGTTGTTTTACAGGGCTGTAGCGGTGACCAGGAAGAAAACTGCCCCCGCTGGAGGTTGTTTTTGTGACTGTTCTTTGGAGCATTGTTCTAAAAATGGGAAATTACATCTTGCCATGCCAAAGGCAACAACACCTGCGGTTAAAGGGACACCTTCCCTGAGGTAGCTTTTCAGAGCGTGCACAATCGTAGCTATGGCCACCTCTGAACGGAGGCTGTGGCAGAAGATCAACGCGTGCTTTCTTTTCTCGCAAGCGGTGGGGTGTGGGCTTATCTTTGCCACTAGGGTGGGCTTCGGCAGCTATTGGTACAGGTGACTATCTATTATCCACCCAATAAACATTTGTCAAGCATCATCCGTTCTGTGACCATCTTGATGGGTTTTGCTTATTTGTTTACATTTTGAGCCGTTCTTGAAATGTGACCCAAGTTGGCTTCAAATTCGTAATCCTTCTGCCTCAATCCTTCCCTGGCTTGTTCGAATTCCAGGGAGGGTTGACCCTTGGCAGGCATCTTCTTGTCACATCTTGTTACATTTTTCCTCAGTTTTCAGAGTCAGCACATGACAGCCTGCCCACATGACTGAGGGACCAGGCAGAATCTCCACACATCCCCCTCTCTTCTCTCCCGCACCCCATTCTCTTTCCCTTGGCTAATCTGAAGAAGTAGAAACAGAACTTTAGCGTATCAGTCATTACGTTGTTCTCGATCCAGGACTTTCCAAAGTGTCCCATCACTGTGGGACAGTCTGAAAGTCTTCTCTGGTGGCAGACATCTGTCCACAAACTACAAAATAATCGGGCTTTCAAATTTATCTGCCATGAAATGATACGTTTCAGAATGACTTGTAGTTTAGGAAGAATCTGGCTTTGTGATCTGATTTCATCTTCATTAGGAACAAGGACGTGGGACTACAGGGCTTGTTGCATTTCAAGCTCTTTGGAATTTTGCGTATAACCACTGCCTATGCCGTGTATGAATTCTAAGTATAATGTTTTGTGTGTTGGGTCATCTTTGGAAGGGTCCAGTATTCTTTCTGAGACCAGCTGGTTCTTGATATGGTCGTGTCTAGAAACAAAGAGATGGAACAAAAAGAGTCTTGGGCCCTGTAATGGAACCGGCTATCAAAGTTTTCACGTGGGTAACAGCTTTTCCATTAGAGCAGTAGTTCTCAACCCGTGGGTCTCAACCTCTTTGGGGGGGGGGTCACATTTCAGATATCCTGTCTATCAGTCATTTACATTATGATTCATAACAGTGGCAAAATTACAGGGATAAAGTAGCAACAAAATTATTTTATGGCTGGGGGGTCACCACACCTGAGGAACTGTGTTAAAGGGTCTCAGCGTTAGGAAGGTTGAGAATCACTGCATTAGAGACTCACAAACCTTGTGATACAGGCTCATGTGTGAGGGCTTTGCTTTCCTTTTGTGTTCCTTTGTATTTTTTTTTTTAAATTTCAAGACAGAGTCTCATATTTCTCAGGCTGGTGTTTACTACGCAAACTGGCCAGGGAAGCAAAGCTTGGCCTTCTGATCCTCCTGCCTCCACCTTGCAAGTGCTGGAACCACAGGGTGTACCTGGGCTTTGTGCCTGCTGGGAGAGTCCTTTACCCCAGCTGCATCCGGGTCCCAGAAGTGCTGAGATGGGAAGGAATCGTAAATTGGTCAGATTTAGCAAATCAAAATTTAGGATGCCTGGTGGAATGAAAATTTCGGGTGAGCCGTGAGTCACAGGCGTGTCTTGAGTGTTGTGTGGGCCGTGAAGGATGAAAATTGGTTCACCTGGGAATGCTGGGAAAGCCAGATTGTCGGGAGCTGTTTATGCAAAGGGATGAGGTGTGAACGGCATGGATTTTGTTTCTGGCTTCAGATATTAATATACAAGTTTCATTGCCCAGCCTAATTGGGGGTGAGGGAGGGGGACAAACCAAAGGCATGGCGGGCAGCAGGATCTGAGGCAGAGCAGGAAGCAGGGCTGTTCCTGAGTCCATGCTTCCTCCCACAGGAGGTCGGGCAGGGAAGGATTCCAAAGATCCTCTGAATACATCTCTCAGCATCAGGACCACAGACCTGTCGCCACACCTGGCTGGCTTATTTTGATTTTTTTTTTCTTATGTGGGTGCTAAGGATTTGAACTTGAGTCCCCAAACTGGTGCAGCAAACACTTTACTCACTGAGCCACTACCTAGTTCCTGCTGTTTTTGCCTTTCTGAGGCAGGCCTCAAAGTCATAGCAATCCTTCTGCCTCAGCCTCCTAAGCATTGAGGTTATAGGTGTGAGCCACCAAGTCTGGCCATTTTACCTTTAGCCCAGTGAGATCCATTTTGGACATTTGGCCTCCTAAGCTCGGTGTGCACCTTTAAGACGATCATAGGAAACAAATTCATAGGTCTTGCAATGATGCTGAAGGCCTAGGGCAGGCAGTGAGCAGAGAAAGGCATTCAATGCCAGGGGTTGAAATGGACTCAGAGACTGAAATGGACACTTAAGGTCAGAGGGCCAGGAGATCCCAGCACCCCACAGTCCTTTCTGCCCCCCGAGATCTACTCCTTATCCCGACAACATTTCTATCCTGTCCTAGATGACAGAGGATGTACTTCTGTGATGGGAGGAACCCGCAGGTGTGCTGCAGTGAGATGCCTTTAGTGTACAGGGTGGTTGAGAGCTACAGGCACAAAGCTTCAGGTACTTTGTAAAGGTCTTGACAAGGCTTGCATGCTGGACTGGGCACCTGGCCAGGGGAGCAAACCCATGTCCCTAGCTCCAGTTTATCAATTCCGGAGCTGGCAATCGTGCTTGCTTAGCTGAATCTATTTTCAGTCTTTTTTTTTTTTGCATATACCATAATTTTATAATTTTAGTTCATGGAAGTCAGCTGAGTGGCTAGTTACAGATGACTCACCTCACGTTCTCATACGCCTGTTGATATATTCAGTAAGTGCTTGGGAGGACCGTCCCCTAATGACAGGTTTCAGAGTGCATTGTTTGCCTGGCCCTATCATCATCAATCAAGGCTTCTTTTATAATCTATTTGAAGTCCTTTGGAGCAACTGATCACGTAGTGGTGAATTGCTACCCACAGCTGCCCTGGTATTTGCAAACAGCATGCCTGGTGTCAGCTGCAGGCTGGGCGGCATTTTAGCCCCTTCATCTTGATAAGGTTGGCAGGGCTGCTTCTGCTTTCCTCTTCCTGCCTTGTGAGTCACTCACAGATTCTTCTGCCAGGCTCGCCCTGACTGTCTCATATCAGACAGCAGCTTTTCTGGTAATCCATGGGTCTTGTGAGTCTGCCATGGCAGTCCCTCTGTAGAGACCTTCCGGGCTAAAATTCCTGCGGTTGCAGATGATGGGGGTAGCATAGTTTTCAAATTTTCTTCCTCACCCAGATTCATAGTTTTCATTACAGAGCCACCAAGAAACATGGGCTCTCTCTTCCCTGAGGTCCTCGACTTATGAATGTTAAAATTAATAGAGTGCAAAAATTTCTTTTTTCCACCCCCCCCCCCACTTTCTTTCTGTAGAGTCTCACTATGTAGTTCTGGGCTGGCCTAGAACTTGCTACATAGACCAAACTGGCCTTGAATTCACAGAGGTCTGCCTACCTCTGCCTTCTGTGATCCACTATGCCTGGCTATTTATTTGTTTTTCTAGATAATGCTGGTCTCCCGCTATATACATACATACATACATACATATATGTGTGTGTGTGTGTATGTGTATATAACATTTAAACTTTTGTCTTTGTAGTTTGTGCTTAATACTTCTCAAATGCAGGAAGGGCATATTTGCACACCATCCTCCTGTGGTTTTTGGTTTTTGTTTGGTTGGTTTTTTGATTTTTTTTGAGACAGGGTTTCTCTGTATTGGCCTGGCTCTCCTGGAACTTTCTCTGTAGACCAGGCTGGCCTTGAATTCACAGAGATCCACTCACTTTTGCCTCCTGAGCGCGAGTGCTAGGATTAAAGATGTGCACCACTACCCAGCCCTCTTGTGTGTGTGTGTGTGTGTGTGTGTGTTTTTCAAGACAGTGTTTCTCTGTACAGCTTTGGAGCTGTCCTGGCACTAGCTCTGAAGACCAGGCTGGCCTCAAACTCATAGAGATCCGCCTGCCTCTGTCTCCCAAGTGCTGGGATTAAAGGCATGCGCCACCACTGCCCAGTTCCTCTTGTGTTTTAATTTAGTATATCCATAGTGAAGATGACTGATTTTAGAAATATATATTTCTATACATATATATGTATGTATGTATGTATGTATGTATATATATATATATATATATATATTAGAAGTGTGGATTTTCTCTTCCTCCCCCTGCCCTTTTTCTTCTGAAATGATCTCATCTGGCCTGAGGCTCACTATTTACACTAGGCTGGCCTAGAACTCATACTCTCTCTGCCTCAGACTGCTGGGGTTAAAGGAAAGCATCACTATACCCAGCCTTTCTTTATTCTTGAAATGTAAGAAGCATTCTTAGTTTGAGGCCACTTAACACCATCAGCAACACCAGACCAAACCTGCCCTGGCAAGACCTCAACCTTCCAGCTATAGCTTATGGATCAAGAGATTTTCTTAGCCACGCTAGGGGAGAAGAAAACAAACAAACAAATAATAAAAACCAAAGGCAGGTCCTAGTTTCCTCTGATTTCATATGCACTATGCAGATAATCCACTCTTTCTGTGGTTGTAGTCAGTTCATTCTTGCATTCTGCCGTGTGTGTGTGTGTGTGTGTGTGTGTATGTATGTGTGTGTGTGTGCGCGCGCAAGTGTGCGCGTATTTGTCAAAAGTCAATCCCACATGCATAGCTGTTTACATGGGTGCTGGTGTCGGGGTTGGCACTCGGGTCCTTGCACAGCTGTTTACATGGGTGCTGGTGTCGGGGTTGGCCCTTGGGTCCTTGAGTTTGCACACTTTCTCAGATGCACCACCTTCCCTACCCTGTATTCTGTGTTTGAAGAACCTAAGGTACTGTACATTTCTCCGGGTTAATTTTACAAATTCTTACGCCAAAGTCCTCTTAAGGCAGAAACCCACTGCAATACACTCCCACTTCCTTTATCCCCAGTCAACTGCACTGTGTTTGTGCGAGGTAAATATTTCCCTGGCGGTGACTAGGTAGTTATAATTCAGAACTTTTTATGACCTTGGAGCGTATCCATTTGAATAATACCCACCTAGGTGGATGGAGGCGAAGGTATGCATCTTAGAATGACCTGGACGCAGAAGAATCTGGGGCCTTGAGAGCGAGGGAGTGGGGCAGGTCCCCACCAGGTCCGTCCCTACTTGTCACAAATAATCTCTCTTGGGATCGCCAATCCCCCCTGACCTGCCCTGGAATTTTTACTACCCCGGCCC